ATGGAAGCTTCCTCACTTGAATTAATCATCGGGACAAAGATTTTATTGAGCTGCAAAAGTCATTTTAAATCTCGACCTTCTTGGCAGTTTCCTAAAGTATTACACCTGTTTCTAGGTAAGCTAAGTATATGATATCCACCCCCTTCACAACTGCTGTATTACACATTATTACTGTCATGTGTTCACTTGTGCCAAGAACATGCTGGAATAGCTAGATGCACTGTGTTTTTTTTATATTATAACTCTATCTTTTAGGCATACTGGTGGCATTGAGTGCGCCAACAGTCTTGGTTTGGTTTACACCCCAAAGCGAACACCTTTCACGTAAGTTTTTCCTGTTTGAAATTACAGCAGTGTGGTTCAAACAATTTCATGTTGCCTTGGTTTTGGTCTTTTTGTGTGAAAAAAATGTCAGTTGTGGTAAAACTTATAACAAGTTACACAAAACAATCTTTATTCATTATGCAAATAGATTTCATAAAAGGTACAACACTTGGTAAACTTAAAATTATCTGGCTTTGTTTTGCGTATACTCGGTGCAATCAAGTACAATGTATTTTGGTTAACCAAAAGGAAATAATGTTTAAAATTGGCCATTTTTAGCTATAAAGCATACAAAGCAAGACGACAACTAGTAGCCATAGATTGGAATTACCATCTTGGCCTTCCACAAATGAAAACACAGTCAGGCGAGGATATGGTGACAAGGAAATATAACCCGAGAACCAGGCAATGGGATATTAAAAAAATAAAATGTTTGAAAGGGTACGACTACATCCCAGTGTTAATGTCCAAAATGCTAAGAAGAAGAGCTTTTGATTTTGATGGCGTTACACAAGCAGTTGATCTGAACAAGAGTGATCCAGCACTTGTTTCCCCAACCATTGCTCACATCCCACCACCATCCACAAAGGAAATTGCTGCCCGAAGAAGCAGATTTGAAAAATAAAAAAATTCTAAATTATTTGATGGTATTAAGATTGAATAACAGTTTAAATTAACCCATTGAGCTGCAATGCGGGCAGTGTGCCCTACTTATTTTTTTACTTGCCTAACGCCAGACGATTTTACTCTTCAATGGGGAAGCTCTGCAGCTTAATGGGTTAAATGTAATAAATCTTTATGTGCCATGTGTGCTAGTATGTTAAAAAAATGTTACTAGTGTTCCTTATACCCCATATAAATTCCAGTAATATAAGGAAATCAACTATTGCTGACATACCACCATCATCTACAAAGTAAAGAATATTCAGATACCAGTTCATTGCCTTTTTATACTGTACATATATCAACTGTTATTGTGCTTACAAATATATTTAGATATGCTATAAAATGAAATTATACAAAAATATCAGTCTTCCCTAAATCCCATATAAATTCCAGTGACAGATGGAAAACGTTCCCTTATTCTTAATACGGCAGACTCGTCTGTTCCCCTTACCCAGATGACCATGGCGTGCAAGAATGAATTGCCTGTAAGCAGCTTTTCGGAAAGCCCTTGTGCTATTGTCCTCGCGGTCATTTCTTATGTCCGGTCTATTTCTGATGCATAACTCTAGAACATCAGGATCAAGACACAACTTGGTGAAACGTGAAGTAAGTGTTTTGCATTTTTTTAATTTGCAGCACTTGTTTTCGACTTCCTGGGGCATTGGTCTACATTTGCTACAAACACACCAATCTGGTGTACTATTATTTGTGGACTCCTCTGTAAGTTCCCTGCATGAGCCTTGCTCAGGTGGGTTAATGTTGTCATCCCCTGTCATTGACGATTCGCCAAACTCACCAAGATCACCATCCTGATCCTCATCCAAATCATCTTCCATAATTAATAACGTGTCAATGTAGTCCATGCTACCAATGCTTCTCCGTAAACATCGAATGGCAAGCTTTCGCACCAACGATTCGTCCAGTCTACCAATAAAATCCTGTAAATGATTAAAGTGTTTATAAAATTAAATTTTGCCCCTATTTTTAATTCCATCACTTCAGAGTGAAATAGTGACGAATGGCTTTTTCAATTTATTCATATTCCCAAATTACCAGGTATTTATCAAAGCACCTCTGAGACATTAGACTTTCTCCTATTTGCTGCCATCTCAAATGCAACCAGTGATGTCATAACTTAAAATATAAAAAGTGCTATAACTTGGGAATGAGATGCAATATGAATAAACTGTAACCGCCATTCTTTATTATTTTAAAAATTTATATAGTTATATAAGAATGCGACTCAATGGGTTAACTAGACACATGGCAGATAGGCTAGTTAACTCATTAAGCGCCAGCGCTCTCCCATTGACAAGTAAAATCATCTGGCGTTAGACAGAGTAAAATAAAAAATCAGTGCGCAATGCGACTCAATGGGTTAGATGATAAATTCCAAAAACATTTAGTGGACCCTGTTGGCACAACTGAAATATGTAGGAGGGAGTTCATATTTTATATTGCAATATTTTTGCCCCAAATATATTTGGGTAACAGAATTATAGCAATATACTGTAAACCAAGTTTACTAAAAGACAATACATTGAATAGTACTAAAACTACCTTTCACAATGTCAATGTACATCAGCTATATGCAAGCAAAACATTTCATACAACAAAGCTCGTAAAAACTATATAATTATTTGTTCTAAAATTTAGCTACAGTATATATGTATACAGGTACATAAACAAACGAACCTTTACATTATCGTGTTCCTTCTCTCTCAATGCATCCTCAGTTTCCAGATTCTGTGAATTCTGACCCTGAGTAGTGCTTAGCCGAAAGCCTTGCGCACGTGTTCCACGGCTTTCTCGATCGTCTCGCTCTCTTTCAGAGTTTTTCGCCGTATCCTATACGAAAACCGCATTGGAAATTCATGATTTTCGTATAACAAAAATGAGGTTATAATAATGCAGATTTTTAAATAGACTTACCCTATTTTGGCAAGGTTTCTTGGTCGTACCACACCGACACTCAGCCGTGCACTCTACATTATTTCCTTTACAAGGACATCCTCGACTCCCACTTGCCTTTCGTTTAGTACTGCATGAACTCTTGCAATCGCAACGACTTGTCTATACGTGTATCGAACGAATTAAAACTGTTTATATCTCTATATCGGTGTAAATATATGCAAAAATGTAAATATATGTAAATTTTTACTCACCATGTTGAAGAGTATTGAAGTGTTTTCAGTTCACTCATATAAATGGCGGCGTATAGTTCCGAGCGCGTTTCCGACAACTTCCGAACATGTTTTGTTATGCGCAGAAAAGATGCGCACGCG